GCACACATAATAGATTACAAATCCCCATTTTGAAATTCATCATAAAATTAGTACCACAGCATAAATTATAAACTTACACTGTTCCAGCGGACACGTGTGCTAATATGAGTCAGGTTAGCAGGGAAAAGTTTTGCGAGACCAAAATCTGAAATCTTGGGAGTGAGGTCTTTGTCCAGGAGAACATTGCTTGCCTTGATGTCTCTGTGAACAATATGAGGCCGGACTTCCTCGTGAAGATATGCAAGTCCCCGTGCAACTCCAATGCAAATTCTAGTCCGTGTTTTCCAACTAAATTGAATGCTACTGTGCCCATCCCCTATAAGTAAAGGTAATAAAGTCATCATATAGACAACAAATGAATTACAACTACCATAGTAATAACCCAACAATTACCAAGAGAGTTTGAGCAAGGCTGTTATTTCAAGATAGCCATACACCAACATTCTATGGTTTTCTTCGGCACAACAACCATACAGCTTAACAGGTTCTCATGCTCTACATCTGAAATCACCATTATCTCTGTCAAGAACTCCCGCAAACCCTGCTTTGACTCGGCAGAAAGCACCTTATAGCAGCCAAAGTACCATCTTTTAGCCTCCCCTAAGTATAACAATTATATGTAGTTATATATATGAACATCATAGTTTCACGCTAGAAAAGATTACAAATGAGGAAATAAGAAGATGTCTTACCTTGTAGACAGAACCAAAACCTCCTTCCCCAATTTTATTAGATATACTAAAGTCATTGGTGGCAATTCGCAACTCTTTGTAACTGTAACGTATAACATTCTCAACGCTTGAAACCTCTGTATCCATGATTAAGACCTTTTGAAGTTAATATGTAGTTATAAACCACACAATATTATGCATGGGGCCAAAATGTGTGTAAACTTGTGTGAATGCATGCTATGAGGTGGAAATTAGAACCATCCAGCCATGTACCTTCCTCAATGTCTACTGTGTGCTTAATTGGAGAAGCTGCCTTTTTTGTAAAAACAGGCAGTAACACAAGACAATATAACCTTCATGTTTAAGCTGACTAGAACTTCAAATCACATCAAACTCCTGTCCTGTCCAGTTGACAATTAAACAGAAACAGAAACACGTTATCATGAAATTTCACCAATAATTGGCCTTGGCCAAGAGACTGGGAGAACATATTTCATGTTGGAAATCATGGTGAAAAATTTACCGTACACTAACTAAACTTCCAATATGGATAACATTCAAAAATGAAAAGAAAAGGATTCAAGTTCATCACTCAAATCAACAAAGTCCATTACGAGAACAAAAATAATACCAACCTATCAATTATGTATTAAGATGTGTTATTAGTGTCCAAATCTTTGCTAAACAGATGTTATGTTGTCCAATTCTAACACACAATTAAGGCATTGCTGGTCATGACAATGTTTGGTGGATATATCTAGGTTCTTGTCAAGTATCAAAATTTCGTTTTGAAACGTTTCTATTTATAAAGAGACTGAAACGAATCAATGATGGAATCCAAATTCTAATATGTTGAGGTGTTGCATAATGCTTCAACGTATTTTGTAATGTTTTAATGCATTTGCGTACTTGTTTTAAAGATGTTTCAAGATAATTTGGTATATTTCGATCAATGTTTTAGAAAAATAATTCTTAAATTTTTTATTTTTTTATTTTATTTTCAAAACGGGTCAAAACGTTTTCAAAATACGTCGAAACGTTTCCTTTTTCTAGGTGACCAAAACAAAATTTTGATCCTTGCCTCTTTGGTTCTTGTAATATCATCCATAAAGATTCTTAAATATACCTCACGCACTCCGTATAATTACATACTTAAAGACCTCATTACTTAATAGACTTGAAACATTTTATACACGAGCAGAAGGAATCATTTCTTCCTGAATGCAAGAGTATATCATTGTATTGTAGGAGAGGGAGAATGTATTGGGAAGATAGGATTCCCCTAGAAGCAACAAATGTTCCACACCAAAGTACAAATAGACATAAAAAGTAAATAAACTTTTCTTCCCACCACTAACTGCATTACACACTAGTAGTGATAACAAAACATCTAATCACAACAATTAGACACCACTGAGGTGATATCACACCCATCAAGTATCCCACTAAAGTTGATACACCATGAAGTCATCAAAAGCTAAAGCCTCATTTTCGTGACGCCATCATTTTAAGATAGGTTTTTGAATAATCCATTGAAAATTCCTCAAAAGTCCCCTAGAGAATTTAAAACAAAATAAAACTACAAAGAGACAATCATCCCCTTTCACAAAAACACAAAAAAAAAATATACATATGTAAAAAAATCCAAATTAAGACAATTTTCTGCAAATTCCATTGGAAAAGACAACAAAGAAGCATCTTTGAGCCCTCTTCCCTTTCACTTGAAGACAACCCCCACGGGACAAAGCAAGAGACAAAAGGTTAGAAATTAGAGAACGCGTTTATTTTGAGGTTAGTCTATATAGGGGGGAACTAGAAATCACCAGAAACTTCAAAGGGGAGGAGATCCTATGCGGAATCAATAATAATGACAAGTTATTTGGAAGAAAAAAAAATCAACCAAAAAGGGGATTAAAAAAATCTCCTCTCTGTTGTTCCCCTTAGTTTCTCAATCTAAATATGCAACAGAGGCAACATCAACAACAATTTAATTACCCCTACCCAAAAAAAAAAAATCAGCATCAATTAGAACAAAAGTAAAATAATTGAAACTTTCTCCATTAATCTTCTTCAATAATGGGTGGTCACATGTATGGACGATTAAATAAACGACCCTTTGACCAGCAGTCACTGAAATTCACAATAACAAGTGATCTGAACTACTATACCGATGGCCAGTCAGACAAGCAAGCAAGAAGACATAATCCCAAACCACACAAATCTAAAGAGTACCCATAATTCAGAACAACGAAACACCCAGTTACATAAAAAAGATAACATAGAAATATAACACAGAATTCAACTGTTCAAAACTCACCTTGTGCGCTATGTTGCTGTAGTGGATGCCTAGAGAGAGAAAGGAATGGTTGTAGAGAGAGAAAGAGACGGTGTAGATAGAGAAATGAGGGTGTCTTGTTTTGACCGGGGTGGAGTTGCCAGAGATACATGGCAAGTGCGTAGAATTTGTTGCAGATCATTGCCGAGTCAGACCTCGGGCTGAATAGAGAGCACCAGAGTGATGGAAAGTAAAAGTTAAAAGGTGAAATATCAGAAACCTCCCCGTAAGTTTTTTTTTATTATTTTATATTACTTACCTTTTCCCTATATAGCTTTTGAAACATCACTTCAAGCCTCAAAGGTTTATTTTTTTTTGATTTCACCTGTCAGTGTATCCGGATAATCTTATACGCACGTCGATTAATTCTTTCCCACTCCGGTCGAAGACAGATCATCCATACTTATGCTTTTTTTTTTTTTCCTTTTGTGTGAGCCTTTGTGGTTTTGTGGGGTTTTGACAAATATTCAATGGCTATTGATTGAATATTCAACCTTAAAAAAAAAAATCTGATCCAAAAAAAACAAAAAAAAATTCTATATGCTCTCAAGTCTTTGTCAAGGGCTGCCTAAATTACATGTTCGTATTTTGAATTTTCCTTGTGAAAGGTTCTGATTTGATCAAATTCACACACAGTCATTTAGAGTGGAATTGGTCATGACCACGTGTGTAATGGGGCCGTTAAAACATACTAATCAACATGTGGCCAATAATTAAATATGTTTAAAGAAAAAATATTATATGTAACAATTACACTTCGTTAACAGTGTTACGTAGTGTAATCATCTATCTATATAATAAAATACTTTACAATTTAAATTTTATAAGATAAACAAAATGACTTTTTGTTATTCGCGGTTGAGATCGCTTTAAATTTAATTTAACGGCTAATATTGACACCTTAAATTTAATAGAAAAAATTGACTCCTAATTGGTGTGTTTTGAGTGACTTTTAAAAAATACTTTTAAAAATTATTTCTCATAAATACTTTAAAAAAAAAATTATGTTTTAAATCACTCCACCACTACCTCTACCCCTCACCCCCACTACCACCCCCAACCCTATCGCCACCGTCGCCACTACCTCTATTGTCGTCGCCACCCCTATCATTGTCACCCACCACAACCATCACCATTTCCTAACAGCACCACTGCCACCACCACCTCTGATGGGCCAAGCCCAAAGGCTCAACTTGTGTTATAAGTCCTGTCCGAGTTTATAGTTCGACTCCAAGAGTTCTAACAAATTCAACCCGGTCAAGCTCATTAGGCTCGAGAAGCTACTATATCAGCAAGGAGCAGGCAAGGTCATCTAAGAGCTTCCTCCTCTACCACCTTGGAGTAAGGGTCTCCTTTATCATCTTGGAGTAAGGGTTATCCAAGAGCCTCCTCTACGCCACTAAGGGAGCATCCAAAAGCCTCACCCTCACCACCAAGGGAGCATCTAGGAGCTTCACCCTCGCAGCCTGGAGAGAGTCAACATTTCTCATCCTTGAACAAGTCCTTTGAAGAGCACACCAACCGTCACACCTCGCCCGTTGAGAAGATGATAGGTCGCCTCCGCCAGATCAGCTACCTAATTACTATCAAACGGTCTTAAGCCATTATGACCGTCAGACTAGTCATACAATTACTATGTCAAGCCACTACAAATTATAAGCTTCCCCAACGCTTGGGGACATCAAACTCATTTGATTATAATTCTCTCAAAATTTGTAATCATGTGTTCTCCTTCCACATCGAAGATAATAAAATTCTGGCGAACTTTAGCCATTCAAAGTGGACGTAGGTCGTATTGACCGAACCACTATAAATCTTGTCTTCTCTCTTTTTCTACTTACTGCATTTTATACTACAATTTGACTAGTGGTGTACAAATTAATTTGTCCATCATCAACCTTTCACACCCATTACAAAACTGATACTTAAATTTTTTTATTTATTTTCTGTGTTTGTGATTTGATTTTAGATATAAATTACAAATACGTTTATTATTTACTATTTTTTTATTACTTTGTGCCTTCAGGCACAGGCAATAACTAGTTAATCTATATAATAAAACACATAGAAAATTGAATATCATCAAAAACCATTTTAATATATCATTTGAATTTCACAAGGAAAGTAGTAATAAATTGAAAGTAATAATATGATTTGATTTAATAATTGGCTCAATTTATTATTGTAATTGAATTGTTAGTTATCATCGTCCTTTATTGGGATTCATTATTGATGATAAAAATAAAAAGAGAAAATTTTAATGACACTCTCTCTAGTTTATCATATCTTCAAAAACATTCCCTCTAATTTTTGAATCTTCAATGACACTTCTTCTAATTTAATTTAAACATCATTAGCATCATCTACCATTAAACTACTATTTTTAACAAAACAAATTCATTTAAAATACCAAAAATGCCCCTACATAATCTCAAGTAATTTTTTTACATAAAATTTTATTAAAATTTGAGCTATTAAAATTTTTTAAAAAATTATAAATAATAATTTTAGTAAATAATTTGTTAGTAAATACTAATTTGTTATTTACTAATTCATAAATTTTTAAAAAAATCGAACCTATTAATTTTTTTTTTTACATATTAAAATTTGAGTTGATCTGAACTCTACCCGAGTTGTTAGCGTCGATTAAAATTTATATTTTTTTACTTATTAAAATTTGTGTCGATTAAAATTAGAGTTATTAAAATTTAAGTCAATTAAAATTCACATATTTTTATATATTAAAATTTGGGCTGATTAAAATTCAATTTGAATTAATTAAAATTTGATTTGAGTCGATTAAAAATAATTT